GATGAATCAGTTTGACAATGATGTCTTAAATGAACCTTGCTCTTCCTGTTGGCTTCAAATGTCTCATTTTAGACAGGCAGGAAGCAGTCCCTGAGCATTGGAGGGAGGCTGAGGTGGCTGGCTTGCTGAAATCATGGATAAATCACAGAACGAATCCACCCACAGACATTTCAGATAGGAGTGCATTTGTTTGCTAAATGCATGCTTGTGTTGCCTGTGTAATCTGGCCCCTACATACCACAGGCAGATGATGTGGTACTTATCTGCATTTCTAAGGAATGGAGCTCTGGAGGTAAAACTGTTTTCCATGAGCCCCAGAAAAAGTGGTTGTATAGGGTACCCAGCCTCTGCCCAGGAGTCCCATCTCTCTTTTGCCTGCTTGAAGCCCAGCTGAGGTACAGGTACCAAACTGTCATACAATGACAATGATGATGACAAGGACTATGGTGAGAGAACCATTAAGGTGATGGTGGTGAATTGAAAGTAACTGGAGACTTCTTTTCCTTTCCTTTCCTTATTTGTGTGTGTGTGTGTGTGTGTGTGTGTGTGTGTGTGTGTGTGTGTGCTGGGGCTTGCATTCATGGCCTTGCACTCTTACTTAGCTATTTTGCTCAAGGCTGGCGCTCTACCACTTGAGCCACACCTCCACTTCCTCAAGATAACTAGAGAAGGGGAACCTCTCCCTTTTCTGCCTTAAGATGTATATATTCAAAAGCCTGGATGCAAAGGAGGAACACTTGGGCACATGACTCATGATTACAAGAGAATTAGCCTCTTTGAACAAAGACTTGGCAGAAGGTTTTTTTTTAATACAGTTAGTCATCAATTGGTGTGCAATCGATGTGTAATTGATCCACATGTAGCTGGCAAAGTGTAAAACCAGACACGCTGCTGGAATCTAACGAGAGAAATGATATCCACGGAGTAAACCAAGGGTACATCTGATTGGTCAATAGACTGCACTCCCCTCTCTCCTTGAGAAAGATCAGAATAGCTCCTGACCCCATGGAAAGATATTCCAGGGCACAGGTATACCAGTACCCTCTGTGCCATTTCTGACTAGTACATATTCTGGTGGTGCTCCCAGAAGGCCAACGAGAAAGACGAATCAAGACAAATCACTTCTAAAGGGAATTCCTGAAAGTACAGTTCATTCACCCCTGAGCACTGATTTATTAAGCAAGAGTTGGCTAACCTCCAGTGAGCCCAGCAATGAATGAAAATGACAAATGAATTGGGAAACTGGAGGTGTGAGGAAAGGGGAAAGGAATGATGACAAGGGATCAAGTCTGTTTGTTTCTTGTTGCTATTGTAACCACCAGGAAATGCACTTAAACTTCACCAAAAAAGGCTTCCATTAAGTGCCACAGGACTTCTTTTCTATGTTCTGATTGTAAACAGGAAATCATCTCTCATAGAGATTTATGTAGATCCTTTCCAGGATGATTTAGGTGATGTGATTCTGTAATAAATGGAAGTGGGTATTTTGTTTATTTTTTACTCCGAGCATTCTTCATGTTTCTACCATATAAGCATCTATACTTTCTATTCTCATAATACTGTTTCATATCAGGGGATTTTATAGATTTGCTACTGATATAGGGTCTCCCTGCATGTTTTTTTTGCCAGTCGTGGGGCCTGAACTCTGGGCCTGGGCACTGTCTCTCAGCTCTTCAGCTCAAGGCTAGTACTCTACCACGTGAGCCACAGCACCACTTCCAGCTTTTTCTGTTTACGTGGTTCTGAGGAATAGAATCCAGGGCCTCATGCATGCAAGGCAAGCACTCTACCACTGAGCCGCTCTACCAGCCCCTCCCTGCATTTTTTAAATTCTCCCTTGAAGGAGTTGGTCCCATGTGGCTTGTCTGAAGTTGGACTTGCTGAGTGACCGCCGTGGTGTTGAGCAACTGAGAGCCCAGAGAAGCAGATAATGGGGTTCTGAAGGTATTTTCTGAGCAATGTAACAAACGCTGATGACAGTCACAGGTCAAAAACCAACTACTTCATCACCAAGGGAGAATCAAAAGTAGAAGAAATACAGCTCCAGAGATGTAAGCACTGCCAAAAGAAGAAAGCTAGAAATAAAGCTTGGCTTCAGCCTACAGCAAAGGAAGGAGAGAGTAGCAACAGAACTAACTTAGGTAAAAGCAATTGTTCATCTTCCTCCCAGTGTGGGCTGGAATTCCCAGGGTAAAGGGAAGCGTTGTTTGCTGTCTGCCTACAGTATGTCATTAGCTGATGTCATCATGACCCATTTAGGTAAGGATCCCACTCCTGCATCTGCTCTTGTGCCCCATGGCATTGATATCTTTACCAGATGGCAAGCAAACAGAAGGGCTGAGCAGAGGAGGAAACTCAGGAAACACAGGTTCCATCACTTCCCAGGTCCAAAAGCTAGCAGAGGAAGTAATGGAGCAGCTTATGGAGAAATCTCACCTTCCAGTATTAAGAAAGAGCACAGATTCTGAAATTAAGGCCAATCGGCCCTTAGATCCTACCATACTCATCTTACTTTTCTGGAACTTGGTCTTTCTGTTTCTCTTTCTTTTCCTTTCCTTTCCATCCTTCCTTCCTTACTTCCTATCTTCTTTCCTTCCTTCCCATTGGTCATTTGTCTTCCCTATTTTAATTTCCCTTTAATTTTTTAAAACTAATTTATGTGTGTATGCGCATGCATGCACTCACACACCGATCCTAGGGCTTAAACTCAGCATCTGGGTTTTGCCTCTAAGCTTTTTTGCTCGTCTAGTGCTCTACCACGTGAGCTACAATTCCACTTTTGGATTTGTGTTGATGAATTGGAGATAAGAGTTTCATGGACTTTCCTGCTTGAGCTGGCTTTGAATCATGATCCTCACATCTCAGCCTCCTGAGCAGTTAGGATTATAAGCATGAGACACTGGTTCCTGGTTAATTTATTGTTGTTGTTGTTGTTATTAAGTAGTTGTAAAAAGAGGTTTCAAATTAAACAAGTCAGTTTTATAAGTACAGTGCATCATGATTAATGTAATCTCTTCAAGTTTTCTTATCTTTAAAATGAAGATGAAGTCTGAGATTGTTAGGTACAGGCCAATGATTTTTCATGTACCACTACCTTTTAGTAAAAATAATCAAGGAAAAAGTTCTATCTCACACATAAGAATACCTAAGCACATATAACAATAACAAGGAAACTAACCTGAAAAAAAAAACAGTAAGGAGTGCCTTCTGTATCAGAAACCAACATGTCATATAAAGCTTTGGTAGTTACCATGGTGCCATCAGACAAATCAAGGGTCCAGAGGAAAGTATTTCTGCTCCGATTAAGCAAGGATTTGATTCTCAGTGCTTTTTACCAAAGGTGAGCATCTTTTAATCTCATTTATGCCAGCAGCACTTCAAAACAAAAATCTCTAACCAAATCTACAAAAAAGGAAATAATTGGGGCTGGGAAGGTGGCTCAGTGGCAGAGCACTTGCCTTGCATGCCTGAGGCCCTGGGTTCGATTCCTCAGCACCACATAAACAAAAAGAAAAAAAGCCAGAAGTGGCGCTGTGGCTCAAGTGGTAGAGCGCTAGCCTTGAACTGAAGAGCTGTGGGACAGCGCCCAGGCCGAGTTCAGGCCCCACGACCGGACCCCCCCCCAAATAAAAAAGGAAATAACTCTCCTTAAGTGTGTGATTTTTCTTTTTGATTTTATAGGAATTTATAGTAAGAACTCTAACACCTTGAGTCTCAGAGGAGACTGAATTGAAACATTTTTTTGTATCCCCTTCATTTCTTTATATTGTCTTGGCTTATATTACTCTGACTATAATTTCAATGTAGTAAATAAGAAATCTGAGGGGGTAAAGAACTCTCTGTTATGAGAGTATTATTTCACTGATTTTTGAATGGCTTTCCTTTTCAGGGCTGTTGGGGCATAAAGTACGAACAGTGAAATTCGCTGTTTTTAGGTATATGGTTCTACGAGTTTAGCCAGTTTAGTTCAGATACTGAGCAGGGGACCAAACCACCAGTTAATGGTGGTCAAAAGAAGGGAAAAAAACCCTCAGGATTGTACAGCTTTCCCCTCCAGGGTCTAACTCCCCTTTCTTCCCTGATTCTTTTACAAAGACTCTATTTTGAAGAAAAACGCTGAATGTAGGGGACTAAGCTGGTAACCATCCACCTAGAAAATTCCTATAACATTCCTCAGTGTTGACTAGTAAGGGGCTGGGTAAGGAGCAGCAACAGCTGTCAATGATGAGGAATGGAGTCTTCAAGATGAAGAACAGTTTACAGAATGGGAAAGTTTCTGAACCAAGAAGAGGACTATAATCAACCAAGCAAGGCATTTAATATTTTAAATCTACTGTATTTAACAGAAAGAAAACTGAAGCAGAGAGAGCAGAGAACGAGGAAGAGACTGGACATCAACAGGGTTGGGTCATGAGGGAATTCTCTGTTTGCACAGGATTGATATCAGTTCCTCAGGGAAATGAATGATATAATCATTTCAGGATCATGGAAGACTTGTGTTCATAAAAGTATCAAAAGATATTCATAATTGTCATCATTTTGCAGGTGATCCATGGGCTCAGGAGAGCAGTCACAGACAAGTACAACAGAGAACTGTGATGTCTTCTGCTCCAACAAGAAAGCAGAGGCAAGAGGCCAAAGAAGGACAAGCATGGGAGCAGGGGGCTGTGCAGCCAGAGCTGAGGAGAGCACCCAGGAGCAAGGGACACAGTGGACTTTAGTACTTCCTGCGGGAGGAGGTGGTAGTGTATTTGATGGTAGAGGTGCTGCTCCCAGAGGTACTCAGGCCTCCCCCAAAGCTTCTGATGCTGCTGGAACGGAAGCCACCTCCAGGATTCTGGCCACTGCTGCCTTGACCCAGGGCTAAGCCACTGCTGGCACCACTGGCACTGCCATAAACTCTGGAAACGGTGGACTGCAACACGGCTGTAGGGAAAGGACAAGGACACAACAGACACAGTGAGCCAGGTGGCAAGCACTGAGACAGGGAGACACACAGCTCAGTACTTACAGACGTTGGTGGGTCCCAGGCCTTCACCAATCAACCTAGAAGCACAGAAGAGTGAGCTAGAGGGAGAGGTTACCTGGAATCCAAAGGAAGACACAAACTAAGAATGGTTCACAAAGAACCATCTTCCAAAGGGTTGTGATGGATGTGTTATTATAAACAGCCAGTTACTCATCATCTTCTGCTTTGAGCTTGATTCTTGGAAATGTCCTCAGGGAGGCTTGTGATACCCACCTGCACTCCTCGCCTTCCAGCAACTTCCTGTAGGTGGCAATCTCCACATCCAGGGCCAGCTTGACACTCGTGAGGTCCTGGTACTCCTTCAGCAGCCTGGCCATGTCCTGCTTGGCCTTCTGCAGGGCATCCTCCAGCCCTTCCAGCTTGCTCCTGGCATCCTTGAGGGCCAGCTCACCTCGCTGCTCGGCATCAGTGATTGTGTCCTGTAGGCTGGCACACTGGGCGGAGAAAGCAAGAACTTACAATCTAGGGGTCCACAGGAAAATAAAGCTGATTGTACTTCTTTCCCAATGAAGAGGATTCCAGAACCCCAAAGGATAGAGAAAAAACCCTAACATGTATTGTCTAGTCTTTTTACTTTGTTTTGACATTTACATGTCTGGAACCATTTGCCAACAACTTCTGTGGTTAGTCCATGAAGCACCCCAGATGAGCAGGTGTTTGGTTACTGAAGGAGACACTTCAATAGAAGAAGGAGGAGCAAGTAGTTTATTTTGAATATAATCCTTAAAGCCAAACAGAGACTGTGTTTGATGGACACCTGTGGATACTACACGAAGTGACCCCAGATTATAACCATCACCATGGAAGTCATGAGAAGTCCCATGATGCTGTGAAGAGCTTTCCTCCCTTCCACTTCAGAAGCTACCATAACCTTGGACTTCCCGCTGCTGGAGCCTCTGCTCTTCCTCCACTTGTTCCACCTGGAATCTCTTGAGAAGGTTTGTGACGATGTTCCCCCATTCCTTGCGGCCTGACAGTTTTCCAAAAGTTATCACAGTGGAATTCTTGAATCCATCATTTCTCTTCTGCAAACTCTTCTAATGCCCATAGCTAATTTTTCTACAACCCTTTGCACCGGGGCTTGGTTCACTTTAGAATATGGATCAATGCACCAGTATGAACCCAACTCCCTTAACAAGTGTATTACCTCAGGTCAGGAGCTGCATGTCAATCTGGCAGAAGTGGCTCACACCTGTAATCCTAGCTACTCAGGAGGCTGAGATCTGAGGATCATAGTTTGAAGATAGCCAGGACAAAAAAAGTCCTTAAGACTCTTATCTATAAATAACCACCAAAGAGACAGAAGTGAAACTGTGGCTCAAGTGGTAGAGCACTAGCCCAAAGTACAAACGTTCAGGGACAATGCCCAGGCCCTGGGTTCAAACTCCCAGAGCAGCAGAAAAGGAAGATGAGAAGGAGAAGGAGGAGGAGGAGGAGGAGAACAAGGAGGAGGAGGAGGAGGATTGCATGTCCCCTCTCCCTGGTGTTTCATTGCCCCATAAGTGCTGCCCATATGATGTTTTCTGTTGCCTGATGGGGTCTAGAAAGAGGAAAGGGAAATGGAGCCTTCTTCACCATTGTCCCCAGCCTACCTGCTTCTTCACGTGGTCGATCTCGGATCTCAGCCTCTGGATCATGTGGTTGATCTCAGCAATCTCCTGCTTGGTGTTACGCAGGTCATCTCCATGTCTGCTGGCTGTGACCTGCAGCTCCTCATACTGCAGGTCCATCCAAAAGAGAAAAATGTATGTGAGCATGCACATGCAAATGCTAACTCCTACTGCTGGATCAAACCTGAAATATATTGACCTAATAGTTCCTGTTTAAAAAATTTTATGAACATTTAAGGAAAGCTGATGTCACATGGACATTTGAATCTATAAACAAGTCGCAAAGCAGCTTAAGTGAGAGACCACAGATAGCAAAGTTCTCTTGGGACCCACCGTGTCTGAAAAGTATTCTGAAAGCCATAATTTAGGGTGAATCTTAAAGCAAAGTTGCCTAAGTCCTCATCTATGGTAGTTTTCTTCTTGCCTCTGAATGACTTTGATTCCTGGCCAGGGATATAAGTCCTATAAAAGTGACTTCTAACACAGCAGGGAACATTTGCTATGATAAGGCCCTGGTTTCCTTTCATTGGACCACCTTGAATGAGCTCAAAGTCTTAGGGTATTCAGGATGGGAACAGAGATCCCTAAGCATCTGCCACCTCCCTGCTCACCTTGGTCTGGTACCAGGACTCAGCCTCAGCCCAGCTCCTCTGAGCAATCTCCTCATTTCGGGCTTTGACCTCCACAATGATGCTACTCAGGTCCAGGTTACGGTTGTTGTCCATAGAGAGGATCACAGAAGTGTCTGAGATGTTGGTTTGCATTTGAGACAGCTCCTGCAGACCACAGGGGGCAAAGGTCAACTCTGCCTGTGAAGAACCAGAGCATCCCAACTCCCAGCTCTTCCCACTTTGCTGAGTCTTGTCTGAGTAATGGAAGGGAGGTAGGGATCCTTACTTCTTCAAAGATGGATGTGAGGAAGATGACCTCATTTCTAAGCCCAGTTGCATTGGTTTTCAGTTCAACCTCCTTCATGGAGGCAGCATCCACGTCCTGGAGAAAGAACCCATAACAGGCAGTCCTCTGAGCCCTCCAGCACAGCCCCACAATCCCAGGTCCCTGGCAACCTCCCTCTTAGATTGGCCAGAGATACAGAGCCATGGCTCTTCTACAACAGGGAACTTGATTCAATCAGCTCACCTTCTTCAGTGTCACGAATTCATTTTCTGCTGCTGTATGCCTGTGGATTTCATCTTCATACCTAGGAGAAGGATATAACACATTTGAGCCTGTCGTGGATGAAATCAAAGACAGCCTGGGATCCTACTTTCCATAAATGGAAACATCCTCATGCATCCCTCTCTAAAAAAATACATATCTTCAAGCAGTTTTACAAAGGGGTTTCAATTCAACAGGTCAGTTAATGAGTATAATGTACTTCTCCCTACCCCACCCATCCCCTCCGTTTTCTTTGTTCTATTCTCCCATATATACATTGAATACTATTATTGCATTCTCTCACCCTTTCTCTTCTTTGCCCACCACCTCTTCTTGACCTCTTCTCCTCTGAGACTTCAAGCTCTAGCTTCGTGGTGTTCAATTTGTTCGACTGTAGGTTAGTAGCTCAAAGGAGTAACAGCGTTGGAATTCTCCCTTGCATATACTATACTCTACTCAGTATATTTATTTATATATGTGCATCTGACCCTGTATACATTATTCTGTATGTTCGCAAGTTAGGATGTTAACTTCTGCATAGAGAAAACATACATCCCTTGTCTCTCTAGGCCTGACTTTACTTAGTTTTTTCTATATCCATCTATTTATTTGCCAATTACATACATCATTCTTGGATGTGTAAAATTGTATCGATCAATCAATAGATATGAAAACTGTAGTATATCTATCTATATCTCTAAGATATGCCACAGCATTCATCCTTCTTGATCCGCAGAGGCTCAGGTGGTTTTTGTGTCGCTGGGTTTTTAACTTCTCTACTTCCTGTAAACTTCCATAGCCCTTGGGTATTATGCTGTCATTTCTCAACTTTATTACATGCTCATGTTTAATAAGGATTGGTCTCACCTCTTGACCTGAGCACCCACTGTTGTGAGGTGTGAAATTTAACAAATAATCCATTTTCCTCTTTGACTCACTTGTTCTTGAAGTCTTCTACCACACCCTGCATGTTCTTCATCTCTGATTGAATATGACTCCCCTCTGTAGTGATGGAGTCCAGATGTCTCCTGAGACTTTTGATGTACTCCTCAAATAAAAGGTCTATGCCTGGCCTCACAGTCTTGGTATCCTGCTCTTGCAGCAGGGTCCATTTGGTCTGCAAGACCTTGTTCTGCTGTTCCAGAAATTACACCTGCATTTGAGACAAGATGGTTGTGAGGACCTGGCTAGAAGAACAGAATTGTAGGCCTCTCCCTAGTTGCTGTTTCTGACTTGGAGCAGAGGCTCAGGCTGAGGATTCCACATCCTTTTGCTTCTTCCTGGGTACCACAAAGAATACTCTAGAAAGAAATCTCAAGGATCATCACCAAAGGGAACTCACACTGTGAGTTAAGGGGCCAATCAGTGACTTTCAATGTTTCTTCTCTTCTCAGACATAATGTCAAATCTAGTTTGAAGGTAGTAACTAGTGACAAACATATAAGGGTTCTTCATTGGGGATAAAATCTGAATTAGAAAGGATGCCAAAGTTACCAAAGAATTATGTTCAATTTCATACTCATTATGAGTAACTACAATGAATTAGCGTTTCTACATATTAGACCATTGTTTCATTTTTCTAATGCAGCTAAAGAAGTTTTCACTTTTCTGTTAAATAACTTTGATACTCTCCAGACTACTATTGGATTTACCACTGCCAATGTCACTAGCATCCTTCTGTAATTGCTTACATCCCAAAGAGAGGAAACTATAGCTACTGCTGTGTCTCTGCCTCCTCTGTACTTGGGATAGTCAAGAGTGAGGGTCACAGACAGCAAGAACCAGAGAAATGGAGGACACAGGTAAATTTTAAATGTTAGCTTTTCCTATGTTCTTGTCAGGGCCCAATCCAGCATCCCTGTGAGGAAGTGGTCTGAGGTCCTCTCTAGTTCTAGCCTACTCTTGCAGGACACTGGTGTCTATAGCTGGGACTCTGGATGCCTTGTGCAGAACTCAGTGTCCTGCTCACCTTGTCGATGAAGGAGGCAAACTTGTTGTTGAGGGTCTTGATCTGCTCATGCTCCTCTGTCCTCACCCGCGGGATGGTGGGGTCGATTTCCAGGTTGAGAGGAGTCAGGAGGCTCTGGTTGATGCTAACTTCTTGGATGCCTCCAGGAGGGCACACGGGGAAGCCTGAGCCCCCATAGCCACCACCAAAGCCAGCACCGCCACCACCGAGCCCAAAGCTACCACCGCCAAAACCAAATCCACTGCCGGCTCCACCTCCAAAGCCACAGCTACCCCCAACTCTGCTATATCCCCCTCTGATGCCACAGCTGCCCCCTGCCATGGAGATCCTCAATGAGCTTCCCAGGCCATAGAGGCTCCTGCTGCCCAAACCAGAGCCTGCGCCCACTGCCCCAATGCCACCGCTGCCCCTGGAGCGGCACACAGACACACTGCTGAAGCCAGAGCGGCTCAGCCCAGGCACTCTGGCTGAGCCAGAGCTGAAGCCCCTGCAGCTGCTCTTAAGATTGATTTGTCTAGACATGGGTCCTGGAGATGCAAAGTCTACGGAATGCAGAAAGAGCTGAGGAACAGATGAATGTGCTGCTCTCTGGATGGCTGCTTATATGGAATACAGATAGACTGGGCCATGTCCTGGACCTTACAGACAGCAAAGAGTTGAACTCTACCAATAATGAGATTACATCTGATTAATAGAAAAGTTATGAAATATTGAAATTGCAGCTTTGGCCTACTTTATTGAGAAATAATTCTCCTGCCCCCAGCTTTGACTTAATCTCAGCACAATAAGACTATCCCTGATTCTCTGTAACAAGGAGTTAAGTCAACATCCTAACAAAGATTCTCCCCATCTGTCTAAACATTTTGGGTGTCCTCTGCTCCACAAAGATGTCTTTTCTGCCTTGGAAATAAAAGAGGTCATGAAAAAATAGATTGCATATGCCTCCACAGACAGCTTAACTTTTACCTCCAATAATTACACATGTTCCACAACACTTTGTTTGCTTTTTATGTAACAAGTAAGTCAGGTAGAGAAGTAGAAGGAACACAGTGAGTCCCGGGTATGTGTCACCTGCTAGAACCACCAGGATCCCTTGGCCAGCCTTCCTGCTCCACACTTCTTCCCTAGAACTTCATCAGCTCTAAACTATTTGAAAGAAAAAATCTCAGAGATTATATAATTCCTTCAGGAAGAAATTCTGTATTAGTATCTAAGTGATAAAAACCTAAGAATATATCCAAGCCACAATTTGTACTTTAAATCCTCAAGTGTTCTTTCACATCACTTGATACGTATTTAATCTGCAAATAACCCATTTGTGTTTATTTGTTTTATATTTTTATGTTTTATATTTGTTTTATATTTTGTTTCAATCAAGATCCATGTCAGTTTTATGCATGTGCAATTGGAACATCACATCTTTTTTTATTTGTTTTGTTGTAATTATAAAATTGATGTACATGAAACATTAAACATTTTGGAACCTCTCTGTATTTCTCTCCTTGAGATATATTTGCCTAAGACCCTTTGCTACTTTTCCTATGGAACCTTTGGGCTTTCCTACTTGTGTGTTTATGGTGGTCACTTAATATGCTACTGTCACCTTTACATTTCCTGCCACTTTTTTACACTGACAACTAGAAATTTACTAGTGTCTTAGGATATATTTAGACAATCCAGCATAGACACAGTAGATTGTCTATTTAGTATTGAATATTGTTACTAACACATCCACTGGTATATATTCAATATATATTTATTAATTCAATGTTAATATATTGAATTAATTAACTTATTAATATTAAATTAAATGTTAATTAATATTTTATTTAATACTTTTATTTAAATATATTTTACATGAAATATTTACATATTAAATATATTGGCCCCTTGAGTAATTATGATTTTTGTTACATGCAGTTATGTTCATTTACATATTTACAAATATATCACATAGTTTATTTGAAAAAATGTACTACTTTTTTTTAAGTACCTGTTTAAGGGAGAAAATACATGCCTAAAGCCATTTCTAGCTACTCAGTTCTTCAGAGAGAAGCAAGGAATATGATCAGTTCTTAGTGTATCTTTGGAATAACTTGATAGCTATGTGGCTCTGCTTTTCCTGAGACCTGTGTGACATATCTCTATGTGTATGTATGTGTGCACTTGTGGTATGTGTATGTATATGACATACAGAGAGAAAGAGAGACAGAGACCATGCAAGACAAGTGTGGGAGTTGTATTGTGCAGAAGAAGTTCCTTCTTATAGCTGTAGAAAGTTATACCAGTAAATAAATGCTACTTATGGTTTGTGTATAGCTGAGTAGTCTGCTTTGTGTATAAACATATATACATACAGATCCAGGTGGCCATCAGAAGAATGATCGTGAGAAGCCAGCTCTGGATAAAAGATATCTATCTCCACAAATGTGCTGATTGTAATGGTGTGCTCCTGTCATTCTAGCTATGCTGGAGGACATAAGTAGATCTAAACTACAGAGTGAACCCCTGGCCCTGTCTTCTCAAAATAATGCAATGACACTAGATATGGAGTAGTAGAGAATGTATCTGAAAGTAAAGATGTGTTGGAAACGGGGGCTATTTCTGTGTGAAATGAATTAGGCCCATATGTCTACTGAGGCACTCCATCACTTGAAACAGTAAAGTTTCTCATTGTTCAGGGTCTTGGAGAGAACAAGGCATCTCAGTGAGTCATCCTTGAGGACCAGCAGTGGTCCTTAAAGGAGAGAATTATGTGTGGGGCCAGGCATGGAGGTGCCTGCTTATATTCTCCAGGTCTGGGGAGACAGGCAAGAGAATTGTGAGCTCAGGCCAGCCTTGGCTACATAGAAAGGCTCCTGTTCTAAAACAAATTAAATTAAATTAAAACAATAAAATTTAAAAAAATACTGCTGCTGTTGTAATTTGCCCTTGGAAAAATAGTGTTTTTCCTCTAAGAGCATAATTAACTCTTATTCTGATGAATGACTGGGAGTGGTTTCATGCTCAAAGTTCAAGTTGACATATGTAATTTACTTTAACAACACAAAATGTGATACCCAAGTTCTTCCTTACTTCCTACCATAGCAAAATTCTCCAAGTTCTTTTTGTATATTTTGTACCCTGGCTCTAAACTCAGCCAGTGTCCAATGGATCCTACCACCTATTAGCAAACATTCTTCAGAGAAACACTATTTACTTTAAAGGATCAACCCACACCATGGGGAGACAGGTAAATCTGCAAAGTCTGATATGCCAAGTATATACAAGGCTGGTACCTGTTAATTTATTAAACATGGAAAGACATCGTATTTTTATTTTACTAAGCAAGTTCTCTACCAGTTGATCCATACTCTATCTCTGGTTGCTACTAGTGAACCAGTTCAAAGATCAGGGCTTGAGTATTCTCCAGCCTTTTCTTCTATTCAGGACTTCAACTGAGCTCATGATGCTACTTACATTGAGAGGTCAATCTGCTTTATCCAGTCTACGGTTCTTCTAGACCCTGTTAGGGAACAGAAGATGTGGTGTGTATATATTCCCACCTGAGCACACACACCCATTTCCATCTATTGCACTATGTATCCATCTGGATCTCTAAACATAAGTTCACACTGATGTGTCCAGCTCCAAATCATTGTAGAGATCCTTCTAACCTGTTCCCTGGCTTATTGGCATCCTCACTGAAAATCAGGGAGAAACTTGGCTCTCACTATCTGCCATCTGTTTATTTAATTGTTCTGTTTCACATTGTATGTTGTCAAGATTAACTTCAGGTAAAGGAAACTACTCTGAGTGTGTCTGAGTGTGTTTCTATGAGATTAACGCATGAATTGGTCAACTGAGGTAGAATAAATTTCCCTGGCTGATGTGAGCAGGCTTCATTCCCTTAGTAAAACAGGGAGAAAATAAAAAAGCTGAGTCAGAAAACATTCCCTTTCCCCCTCGCTGTCTTTCTGACTGTGTTTATCCTGCTTTTGGATTCATAATGAAACATTGGTTGTACTGTGCCTCCAACTGGCTAACAAATCTTACCATTTGTCAGTCTTGAAAGTTATAATAAATCAATCTCTCTCTCTCTCTCTGCACATTGGTTTTACCTCTATATTTCTCATCTGGATGTGGATTATGCATATACAATATAGATATAAACATGTGTATACATGTACATGCACATATTCTGTTTCTCTGGGAACACTAACTAATCCACATGTACAGAAGGTTCAGAATTTCTAAGCTATATCTCCAAGAGATCTGCATTTTCACTGACAACACAGTGCTTACTCGGAGCTCCTTTTCTTGTAGTCTTACACACACCTCTGTTTCAAGGTCTCCTAAGGTCAGCCTTTTCTCTCCCTTTCCACTTAGGACATATTTCTACCATATGTAACTTTAATTTCTTTTTCTCATTTCGTTTCTCTAGATGGACTAAACATTTCAATGCCACTAACAGTGATGAGACAGGACAAGCTTGTCTCAATGTCAAACTTAGTGAGCAGGGTCCAGTGTCTCATCATTAACTTCTTACTTTAAGTTGTTAATTACATTTAGTTAATGTAATTTCTAACACATTTGAAGATTATATCCTATATACTTTTCCTGCACTGATCAATACGGTTGCATGGTATTTTTTTAGTTCTTTCTGGGACTAGATTGTATTGTTTGGTTTTTGATTAGAACAAAACCTTCTTGGCTATGGTGCATCATTCTTTTAATACTTAGTAGAAGAGGTTGCTGCTATGTTGTTGAGATTTTGTTCTCTGTGTATAAGAGGTATTTATTGATTTTCAAATTGATTTTATGCAGCTCCAGTGGTAAAAGAGAGTTGTCTGCCTAAAATGAGACAGAAAGAACTCTCTGCACTTCTATTTCCTGGAAGCACTTGTGGAGAACTGGTGCTGTCCCAGTTACAAGGTTACATGTGATTGAATTAATTTTTGTAGTGAGAATATGAAATTCTGATTCTCATTCTCTGTGTGAAACCTGGTATTTTTCCAAGGATGTGGTGCATTTTTATCAAAACTCACAATTTTATTGGCAGATAATTATTTGTTGTTATTCTTTATTATAGTTTAAATCTTCATATGATGTTTGTATCTTATCTATTTAAACCCTCATGCCTACACAAACTTTTTAAACCTTCATTTCATATATTGCCATACACAAGATGATTGTTCTTTCTAAGTTATTTTCTTCCCTCTTGTATGTCGTGGATACATGACAGCACATGTTAGAGGTGGGCTTAGATGAGTCATCTAACATCTACTGTTGGGAAAGTCTGGATAGGAAGAAGTAAGGAAGTACCAAGGTAAGAGAGAACCCTACATCACTAAAGAGATGATCAGAAATAACACAAAAAAGATACTGGTGGAACTGGATCCAGAACTACATTTCTATAAATTAATCAGTTCAAGAATTGTAGGGAGACAAGTGTCACACGTTGGAGAAAAAGAAACTGACACAGCTCTAAAAACAAGTTCATCTTGACTGACCCACACACCATGTCCTAAGGTTTTCCTTAC